AAAATAATGATTTTATCACTCGGTAATTGGAATTTTTGGTAAAATTGAATATTTTAAACAAATGAATTTGAAAATTTTCAAAGAACTTTTTCGAAGATTATTAAAAATAATCGATTTAAAGAAGAATTTTAGTTAAAAATTCTTGACAATAATAATTTAATTGATAATGATTTTATCACTCGGCCAGCTTTATAATTATTATAAAACATGAAGAAATGGATCACGAAAAAATTTAATTTTTAGTAAAATGTTCTCTTATTTGACTCGGACTGGTTATATTTTTATCAGTAATTGGTCTGTAATTTTGTCTAATTAATTAAATTGAATAATGTTGTTTCCAATTGCGTCCGTGACATATAAATATTGAAAGAAATGAAGATTGAGATATTTGAAACTTTATGCGAATACAAGTCACTCGCCTTGTCATTGAGCTAGAGGGCATTATGTATTGTGGAAGCTACTATTGTTTGTATTGTTTCTCCTCCTTGAAAATTCATAGCCCGGAACCATGACCTCGATCCAGTTTCTCTGTAAATACACATGTATTTATACTAGAAGAGGAGAATTTGTATTCTTGTAGATTGTCATCCACTTGAATTATCATCTACGATCCTTTTGCTGCCACAAATTCACCGATAAAGACCTGACACAAACAAATTCGATTTATTTCATGTTCTCTAGGGTATCATTCTATTTATGCTATTTCGCCAAAATCGATTTGTTTACATTGTTTCAACTCAGAATGCAGACTTTCACATATTTTCCATGGTATATATTTGCAGAAAAATGTTTTAAACATTTTTTTTTTTTTTGTAAAAACTTCAATTCACAGTTGAAGAAAATTAAATTTAGAATTAAGACGTAGATTAACTATCTTGAGAATCAAATTGTAAAAATAATTGTATTTTGACAGAGGGGCTACTAAAAAGAAATTATTGCTCAATGAAGAGTAAATATCGTAATGCAAAGTAGGAAAGAATTCTCTTTCCGAATTGCAATGAATCAGCAAGTTTTCTCTCCGTTGACCGTATCAAGGTGCCTTGGCCATAAAATGCGTTCAACGATTCGTACCAATGTTTACTTTTAGAGATTCGCTTCTACTTTAGAGTTTATATAGCTAAATTTTCCAGGAATATAAGTCATCCAAGTCAGAAAGACTAAGAAAACTTTTTATGAAGTCATCTAAAGGTGGATTAGCAAAGTTGATAGAAAAATGTCCTCTGCAATATAACTTTTTCTTACCAGCAATTTTTTTCATCTTCTTTAAAGAAAATCATTTTATCTTCTTTAAAAAAAATTATTCTATTTCATTTGAAAAAAAAATAATTTTTTTTCGTACATTTGTTTCAAGTCCGTAAAAGTCAGGTTTTTGTAAATAATAAAATTCTTATTTAAAATTCAATTATTTTCGTAAATAATAAAACATAATGCTAAATTTCAATTATTTTTAATAAAATTTTAATGGAATTACCCAAAAAGTGTAATTATTCTTAAAACTTTTATTAAAGTTCGTCAAAAGAATTTAATTATTTAAAAATTTATTGATAAAATTCTTTATGAGATTTTAATTTGGAGAAACATTCAATTATTCAATAAATTATTTATTTTTGTATTTAATTGATTGTAAAATATAGAAATAAATAAAAAATTGAATTCTCGTAGAATTCTCTAATAAAAATTTTTATTTAAATATGCATTTTAGTTCAAATTTTTGATGATAATTGAATATTAAACTCTCTAAATTTGAATTAGTAAAAACGGTTTCCAATTTGAATTAGTGACTGACAATTTTAAGAAATATTCAATTATTCTATAAATTATTTATTTTTGTATTTAAATAATTTAATTCTCTTAGAATTTTCTAATAAAAATTGATTAAAAAATTAATTTCAGTTAAGATTTTAAATAATAATTAAATACTAAAAGCCACATAGCGTAAATTTTTAAAAATAGTAAAAATTTGAAATTAATTTTTTTGAAAAAGTTTATTTTTTTATATTATTCGATGTTTTTATTTTCTAATATATATTTAATTGAACCTAATTCGCGAATAATTGAAACTTCATAAAATTGAATATTGTAAACAAATGAATTTGAAAATTCTCAATGAACTTTTTTGAAAATTATAATTGATGTAAAGAAGAATTTAAAGTCCGTATTTTTAAATACTTTTTAAAGTAAGTTTTTTTTTACGAGCCCTACTGTATAGTAATATTATGAAATATTAATTTAGATATTAGTAAATTTAAGACTTGATAAAGATGGACAAATTACCTAATCAGATAATGTGTAAATTAGATAGAACTGAGGGTTTCTGGCAAGTTTATAAACTCAATGCAGAAATATGTCCTAAGGGTGTGACTTACGAATGTGTTTCTGGAATTATCTATTTGAAGTTTAACGATTAGGGCAGAAATGTATTTTGGCAAGAAGGGAGCTATTTAGGATCATGTAATCATTAGCTAACTTTCCTGAAATTAGAACAGGCACGAATTTCTTCAAAATATTGTTTTTAGTTCATTTTTTTAGAAAAAGAATTGTTATTACCAAAATAATTCTGAGACTAATATTTATGTTTTCTACTCTTTATGATTATCTCCAAAAGCAGAATTACTTATTATGTTTATGAAACTTTTTCACTTTTATGGAAATCAATTTTCGTTCTTTTTTCGGAACGAAAACATTAATGTATATATTCACTTTGAAATATCAGAAACTCCCAACTAGCAACATTCCTTTTCACCGGGTTTAGAATTCTGACCACAGGCATTGAATTTCTGAAGAGGTGATGTCAGGAAAGGTAAGATAGAATGACGAAGAGAGGGATATGATCGTCTTGAAGGACCACTTTGGGGATAAGGACACGTCTCTGATGAACTGGGTCTTTTGTAATTCTGTCTTGACATAGTAGTATCTTCCAAACATCTACCTTGAAATAGTTGTGAATTCTAAGCAGAGCTTTGATATTTGAATGGCAAGGGTTTCTTGCAAACACAGTTTCAAACCTCAAAATTGATCTCTCGTATCCAGTCATGATAGAAAATTTTTCCCTTTACAAAGTTTATTCCAATGAAAACAATGAAAATTTCTTTCAGAATTCAATCATAAGAAATGATTCTTTCTGAAAAAAATTGCTAATGAGATATTTAAAATATAAAAAAGTGACCTGCCTATTTTCACCTTGATTTGAGGCACGTCATTTTGCTCTCTATTCTTTTCTTACAGCAGCACCTGTTGAGGACAGCCGCACAACCATTTCCGCAACTATAGAATTTTTCCCCATTATTTTTTGTTCCCTCGTCGACATTGTCTTTCACAAGCAGAGCAAACTTATTATTCCTATTTTCCAGTGAATTATTTTTCGTAACCCTGCAACTCTGATTTTTATAATGAATCTTCTTTTTTTTCTTCATTCGTGTCTTCTCTTTCACATTTTTTAGACAATATCCTAAAAGATTCTTGAGCAAGGAAAAATTCTTTTTATACACCTCGAGAGTAATTCAGCAGTCATTTTATCAGAATAATCACGCAATTTTTTTAAAAAATTTACTTTTCATAAAAGAAAATTGTGTTCGTTTTGCATATTTACAAGGTGCATAATTTTCTTTGGGTTGATTTTTTCAAAAGTCTTTCTAATGAGATGAAAGATTTTTGTCAACATTGAATAATGAATTATCTATTATGATGGTGTGCAATTTCTGGTGAGAACTGTACAGCGTCGACGAGAATTATTATAACAAACTAAAATTTGCTTATCAATTTTTTTTGGAATGGGATTTGCGTGGAAAGTATAGGAAAATCTTGTTGGCTCTTTTCAAACAAGAAGTACGGAAAACAGTTTGCCATTCTGTCGCAAAATGAAACTTTCTTTCTCGAGTTAAGTTTATTCCAGTAGGAAACTTTCTTTTCTTAATTCCCAGCACCAATACTTCTCTTCTACATTATCATATGATTTTCATTTTCAACTTTCTTGTCGGGAAAATTTCATTTTTCTATTTTCTCTATTTTCTCTTGTTCGACAGTTTGTCATTTGCATTATTGACTTGGGCATTTAAGTTTAATTTGCGGACATTAATTTTAATGAACTCTGATTTATAATTTGTGCCACTATGTTCTGATCAAATTTGGAATTTAAAATTTTTGTTTTCCTCTTTCTTGAATGACACGAGAATGAGTTGGATTTCTGGGGAAAAATACTTGAACCGAGAAATGGTTTTTGGAAGACGACCTCTGTTTATCTCCTCCTGTTGTTATTATTATGTTGCACATCCCCGTCTTCAGTGTAGTATAACTATTTGTTTTCAGAATCCTTGGAATCTGTTTGCTTTTAAGGTATTCTTTTGCAAGGCACGTTCTTCCGATCACACATATTGCAAGACATTCTTTCGTTGAGATAGAGGCTTTGATTTTATCAATAATCTTCCTCTTTTGTCTGAGACTATAACCGAGATTCAATTTAATAAATGGCTCCCCTTTATAAGAAAACATAAGTATGGAAATAGAATTGCGAAATATTGATGCTACAGGCAATAAGCAATGATCATAAGCCAATGTAATTGAGTAAAAAAATGAAATACAATTTACATTTTCTTTTCAAAATTGTTTTTGAATTCCGTTTACGAAGTGATCGCAAATATCTATTGCAATTACTTTTTGTCCATCCCCTCCCTGTTGTCTGCCATCTCAGTGAATGTGGAGTATAAAAAATATTGCAAACCATTTCTGAGATTTCTCAGAAACCCGACCAGAATTGCAAACAGTTTCTGTTTCAAAATAAACTACTCCTTAAATCCATTTTGAATCAATAAAGTCGTGATGTAATTCTAGAAGGATACTTGGGTACTTCTACAAGTTATTTTTTATCTTTGAATTATTTTTTATGCCAAATTTCTTTCTATCAGACCTAGGAACATCAAAGTAAAATTCACAATCATCTTTTACATTTTGTGTTGAACCGCAATTTTCCTCTTTTTGAAAAGTTAAAGTCGAATATTTCTGACTTTCCTTCAAAGTCAGGAGAGATATGGGTTTTGGAATGGTGGAGGAACTCTTTTCCGAGTCATATTCGTTTGACTGTGTATACGTATCTAATGGTCCATGACCCCAAAATCCAACATCTGAACCAGAAGCAATTGTGGCTGATCTCTCTGGAACTAGTACTACCATAATCCTTAATACTTACACCAAGTTTCTAGCAAAGTTTCAAGCACAGAGCCCATAAGATATAGAGGAGAATACTTTTTGTTCCCGTGATGTGCTGAAAATTTATTTTTCCTACCAACTCCTCGAAAGAATTTATACTCTTTCTTCAAATTTTTGTTTTAGGAAAATTCGTTTAAATTATTTTTCAGTTTTTTACTGAAATTTAAATACTTTTTACGAAAACTCGTGCTATTTTTATATTTTCTTTAAAAAATATGTAATTTTCAAGTGACATTAAAATTGATGACCATTTTAAAAGTATTAATAAAAACCCTCAAATTGTCTTGAAAAGATAAACCATCTGAAGATAAATATTATTGCGAGACAGTGTACCAAAAATTTAAAAATAAAAGATGAAAATCCCAGAGCTCGAACCAGTGATAGTATTTAAAAATACGGACTTTACGGACCAAAAATGAAAAATTACGAACCATTTACTGACAAAAGAATAACCGCAGTTCGAGTCAAATAAGAGAATATTATTACTGCTACTCCTTCAAAATTATTTTCATCATTTCAATTATTCAATTATTATTTTCTAGAATTTTTAACTAAAATTCTTCTTTAAATCAATTACTTTTTATAGTTTTTAAAAAAGTCATATCCTATTTTTCGTATTTTTCAAAAAAAAGTAGTAAAAAGTAGTAAAAACATGTTTTGGTCAGACGTTATATAATATTTTTTGTATTTTTCTAAATTAAGTAGTATAAACATGTTTTAGTCAGACATTATATCCTATTTTCCGAATTTTTCAAAATAAGTAGTAAAGACATGTTTTGGTCAGACACGTTATATCCTATTATTAATGTTTTTTTAAACTAAGTAGTAAAAGTAAATTTTAGTCAGACTTCATTTGCTATTTTTCGTATTTTTATTTTTTCTAAATTAAGTAGTAAAAATAAATTTAAACAGAAAAAGATTTTAATTTGAAACCTTTAGAAAATTCAATTATTCCTAAAGATTGCAATTATTTGTAATTTCTCCAAAATTCAATTATTATCTAAAACTTTAACTGAAATTAATTTTTATATTAATTTTTATTACAAAATTCTACTAGAATTCAATTATTTAAATACAGAAATTAATCATTTTTATTGAATAATTGAATGTTTCTTAAAATTCAATTCCCATAAAGAATCGTTATCAACAAATTTTCAAATAATTGAATTCTATCAACGAATTTTAATAAAACTTTTAAGAATAATTACATTTTTTAAGGATTTCGATTAAAATTGTATTAAAAATAATTGAAATTCTGCGATGAGTTTTATTATGTGTGAAAATAATTGCATCCCTGAGAAGAATTTTATTATTTACGAAAATAATTGAATTTTGAGCAATGTTAAACTGTGAAGTGCAGTGTAAATATAAATTCAGACATAGCTTCGTAAATTTCAATTTGCACAATAAAATATTTTTCATTCACAACAATTTTTTTGGGGAATTCGCGACCCCATATGACATAAAGTTAAAAATATTCTGTAGGTTCGGTTTTTGATTTTGACTTGATGAATATTTACGAACCGATATTTTGTGATAATTTATTGTATGGATTTTTGGTTTAGAAAGTTTATCTCTTATCGTGAATTATAAAATCGGGATTTTGTCTCATACCCTGTGGAGCACTATCCGTGATGCTGTGATTGTGTCTGAAAAAGCCTCTATGGAAGCTTACTTGGTTCTAATGTTACCGTGCCGCTTGCTTTACGAAAGCACACTAAAAGCAAAGCGTGTGTGTATTAATATTTCTCCAGCAATATGTTCCATAATAATGGAATATCCGATAAAATCGCTTGAGATGCATGAATGATCAAAGATCACGCGTGCAGTGAAAGCGATTAACACCCAATTAAATTTCTATTTCATCAACTATATAATAATGAACGGATTACAAACACTTCAATTCTGAACAATTTTACGTTATTAACAGCAAAAACTTGGTATTAAAATTTAAATGAAAGTAAACAAACTTCTATAAAGACATGACCCACTTTTAAGGTGAATTTCTTTTTAAAATTTTCATTTCTATTTTGACAGTTCTCCTTTAATTTTTTAACGAAGTCATATATGTTTTTCAGTCTAGTGGATTTAAATTTAAAGATTTTTGAAATGCGTCAAGTGGCTGTTCTAAATGTGTACAGTTGTTGCAAATTAGAAAAAGAAATAAATTAGTAAGCAAACTTAAATACTCTTGGCGAAGCGTTTATTACAGGCGTCCTCTAATTAAAGCATCTAATGCGCTGGGAGAGAGCTTGTTGAAAAATTTACATCGACTTTGCAAATGTCGACGAACAAGCGCGTTGAATATTTCATTTTAATAAAGAGACCGAACGAAGTTCAGTTTGCGGTGTTCATAACTCTAGTGTACGGGGTTATTGCGTAAACGTCTTTCTGAAGGTTACATTTCCGTAACAGTGCATTTCACTGTTGTTGCACTTTTTCTCTCTCTCTCTTTCTCTCCCTAATTCCTATTTTCATCTCGTATCCCATCATCCAGAAATGGACCTGAAAATTACCCGCGGATAACAAAAATTGATGACATAAAGTCGGCCATGCAAAAAGGGGTTGTCAACCCTAACGAGTCGTTAGTTCAAATTAGGTTGCAAATATAAAAAAAAATTTTCGTGAAACCGCCGCGAGAAAGTAGAATTATTGACGTCAAATTCAAGCTAATTTGAATATTAAAAAAAAAGAGTTCGAAAATAATACTCTAATGAATTTTAAAGTTAATTTAGGAAACACTAATGATCTTCTTTGACAAATTCTGTTAATACTAAACTTTTCCTCACAATAGTAAATCACAAACCATCTACATGTATGTGCTTTTCTTTCTTGCCAGGAAATAAATCAATTCATATTTTTCGGTTTCAAAATAAAAGACCCAAAAATACAATTTTCCCTCTAGGCATGGATAGCTCTTTTCATTTTTTCTTTGTAAAGTCCAGATTAATTCCGTTTTTACGTCAAAAAAAATTTCTTTTTTTTTTGTCGAAAGAAAAATTAATTAAAAAGAGTATGTCACAATTTGAAAGCGCGAAAATCGACAAACATGCTTCTCTTTTTGGTTTCTACTTCAAAGGAACCATTTTCTGGTGTCATTTTATAGGACATAAAAGTAGAAAGTGCAGGTGTGTATATTACAGCTAGAGAGAGTGATATAATACTCGCCACTTAGAAAGGGTTGTGTTGTGTGTGACCAGACATAGGGGTGTCTGATGTCTCAAGAGCCCCACTCTAGGATGCATCACATACCTACGTTCCTTTACTTTTTTCTCCCTACGACACATGAATACTTTTAAAAATACACGTGCTCAATAACGCCTTGGAATAATATACCAACAATTATAATTCTCTGTAGAAAAAGAAAATTTTCAAGTTACCTAATTAAATTAATTAAAATCCGAAACAAAATACAAAGTGTTCAATGGTATAATCAAGCAGACAACATTTTCTCATTGACATCAACAGCCCATCAATAGAAGAGTTACTGGACGTCTAGGACAGGACTTTAAATAGGCTGTCATTTTACGAGCATTGCTAGACACATTGGGTCTAAACTTAGGTGCCAACTCTCGTTAAAGGAATCCTGGATCGTGCTCGATATTTAGATCAGATTGGATGCTACAATGCGACAAGAACTTTCCTACAACCAGCATTAGGAATGCTAATTTCACTGATTCGGAAGTATTAAACACTAGAGTAAACTTTATAGCATTTAAAATCTTTGCTTAAAAGTATTGTAAACAAATAGATATGCGAATTGGCGAATTGTTACCTAAAACAATACCATGGAATTTCTCGACGTGGGGAAATTAATTGCAGAGTTTTTTGATATATTAAATAATTCTGATTTTTTTCTTGACTATTTCTTTGATCTAATGAAATTTTCTACCTTAAACCGAGTCATATAAGCGAAATCATTCTCACTTTACACAATCCGCCAGGGCGATGAAAAATTACCAACCCCCTTATACTGTACATGTCACAAATCGTTAAAAAATATTTCTTCGATCCAGAAATGTGTAAGAGATATTAGAGGGGTGTTGAATGTCTGGGATGAAAGGCCCTATATGCTGATAGGAGTACCTTTACAAAGTAAAAATATCTGCGAATTTACACATATTATAGGTGGGTCTCGTGTGTGGAAGGTGGAATACTATTTTATGTTTCGCTCCCTGGAAAAAGAGGGGTTGTACTCTCGTTTCCCTTCTGTAATATACAGTACAGTGGTGTATCCAACCCCTCGTTTGGAAGGTTAGGCCGTCTCATGGGGTGTGAATGTACCTACTATATTGTGTAAGAGGCAAAGGAATGCCAGGAATGTCAGAAAATTTAAGCCTCGACGGCATCTATCACTCCACGTGACAGCCGTCTCGCCTCCTGTCACGCGAAAATGTTCCCTCGTTACATTTTACAATGATAGCGATAGCATATCCCCCGGTAATATCGAGCATAAAAAAATTCCCACTTCTTTTATGCCAGAGATGTAATTATTTTTTCTATACACGAGAGGTCAGATCTTAAAATTCGTAATGACGATACCTGACCATCATGCGAAAATGAAACAAAACAGTTTTTTTTAAGTAGCCTTATTCTAACTATTCGTTTAAAGTATAAAACCGAGTTTCACCATTGTTTATCTCTAGTTGGATTAAAGCAAAAATTATTTAAGGTAAACAAATACGTTAGTTGCAGCTTTTCCTCCAAAGGAATGTGTGCATGGAGAACAATGAAGCTAATGAGGACGAAAAAAGAAATAAATAAATATAACAAAGGAAGCGGTAAAACGAGATGAAGTAGAAAAAAGTTTTCTAGCCGAATGACGGTGGGTAGTCGTGAAGGGAGGAGTGCAATTATGCGAGCGTGTATTATAGGTAAAATGTGCAATTTTCGCGTAGGGTAATATCCACCGCAATTGGAGTAATACATCGGGATAGAAATGAGGGAGAAGAGTATATAGTTTG